TCATCATATATAAATATATTTACATATGTACATGCCTGTATTTAGACTTCTATAATTTCCCTTTGCCTCCTAGCCTTTGCCTCTTTCCTCTATTTCCTTTTACTTTTCTCTTGTCCCACTATCATGCTCAGCCTTCAGGGTAATGTAACCGAGAGGAAGTAATGAAATCCAAATGAACCCTGTCTTCTTATATATGTACAATCATAAGTGGCGTGGTTTTGTTTCTCTAGAGAACCCTGCCTAACACAATGTCAAATCATAAATTAGATGCACTAACAAAGTTTCTCTTTAAACATATTTTAACTTGGCTGTTAGTTTTTGTTTAAGCTATATTGGAATTCTTTTCTTTCAATGAATCACACCCTACCACCAACAGATCAAGTGCATAGTAAGGCAGTGGGTGTTAGAGGAGTGAGACATTGACTGTAGTTGACCACAGTGGAGTAAAATCGCTAAGTAGTAGAATAGTCAGTGGTTTGGATGCTATGAGAATAATTACATTTTTCTTAAATATCTCATATATAATATTAATGATTTATAAATCTCTGACTAAAAATACAATTCATTTGATAGTATTGAATAATTACGTATGGAGTACCACTGCCATCAAGCCATTCTGAATCATGATGGCCCTATATCGTGTTTCTCTGGCAGTACATTTTTGCACGAGCAGGTAGCCTCATCCTTCTCCTGTGGGGCAACTGGTGGGTGTGAACCTCCTGCCTTTCGGTTAGCAATTCAGTGCTTACCCTGCAACACCACTAGGGTTTCTTATGCAAAGCATCGGCACTGGGAATTGCTTCCACTAAGAATAAATGAAAACATAGCCTTTTGCCCCTAGATCACGTAAGATGCATTTAAAAAAAAAGTTAGTGGCATATTTGGTAAATTGTCTTATAAAAGGGAAAAGTTGAAATATACAACCATATTAATTTGTGGACTTTAATTTTTTTTATCCACCCAATAAAATCTAATGAACAGTCTTAAAATGCATGACAGTGTTCTAAAGTTTGAAAATATATCACAAATAATACAAATTCTCTATCACAGGCATAGTCATTTCAAGCTTGAATAGAAAGACAGTAAGTAATAAGTGCATTTCAGATGGTGATGAGTCAAGAGGAGAAAAATAAAACAAAGTTAGGAAGACAGCAAATGCTAGTGACGAAGGGAGCAGTCATCAGGGCAGACCTCTCTGATAGGGGAAGAGTGAGCCGAGTGTAAAAGGAGAAGGTGAACTGGAAGTACAGAGCAGTCTGGGGAGCAGGAAGAGCAATCACGAAAGGAAAAAGGGCTAAGCACCCTCGCTGTTCTTTCCCCCAATACAGCATGCCATGAATAGTGATGTACAATGGCCTATTACATAATGATTCCCTTCTTCCCACTACTTGAACTTTTTCTCACCAGCTCATTCAAGTCTCAAGGTACTATTTAGTACACTACTACTGCATTCCCCTGTTGGAAAGTTTTTAAAACTACTGCTTAGAAACTATGAACTTACCTAACATTACATTGATTTTTTTAAGGTTTAACCAAACTTGATGGAAATATTTGGAAAAGGATAGGAGGAATGATTGTGCAGCATAAAGAACATAATCAGTGTCACTAAATTAGACATATAGTCATTATTGAGATGGTATATGTCTTATGTATCTTTTTACCATAATAATAAAGAGAAAAATAATTTCACCGCATAATGCCCTACATGTTATAGGGAAGATCGACTAGAATTTCACAAGAGCCTAACTTGCTGTTGAGTTAGCAAGAACAGGAAAGTTTCAAAAAAGTAAGATAAAGAAAATAATATATTTTTCTTTGAAAAGTTGACTAGGCTCTTTTGGATTCAAAACAAACAAAAACTGTGACGGTGGTTTAAATCATACAGGTCATCACTGAACGGGTCAGTCAAATGAAGGCAGAGGAAGAAGGGAGAGACGATCAGGATGGAATTAAACGCCGGGCTTTTCTTGACTTACTCTTGGGTGCAATTGATGAGGAGGGGAAGAAGCTGAGTCATGAAGACATTCGAGAAGAGGTGGACACCTTCATGTTTGAGGTACTGCTTTGTCATTTTTGGTGTCAAAGTCCAGTTGTTTATAGACTATGTAGCGCTGCTTGTAACTTGATAAAATTTTAATGAAGTTTAACTTAATGAAGGAAGCTCATCATCTTAAGAAATTACAGTAAAGTCCCTTTAATAAATGATGTCCCCAAAACTGGATATCCATTTGCAGGCAAATGAAACAGGACTCATATCTGATGCTTTCCAAAAATAAATGCAAGACTTAAATGTAAAACCTAAAATATAAAGAACATTAAAAAAGAAGGACAAGCTTAGGAGTGCTAACATCTGGCATAAATACACTATTGAACATAACTGAAAACACATAAGCAACAGCAGATAAGGCTGGGGCCACCTAAAAATTAGGCATGTAGACACATCAAAATATTCCATCAAAAATGTGAAAAGAGAGGTTCAAAAGGGCCAATTGATCACCTGGAGAGTAATTCCTTTTCCAAGAACCAAGAGGGAGACATTAGGAAAGAGAAAACGACAAGCTAACAATCAGGGAGAACAACTCAGTAGATGGAAACCTGAGTCCTGAGAGGTCCAGAGACTGTGGGAGCCGCAGAGGCCAAGAGCAAAGGCGAGAGGCCAGGCACTTGTAATTGCAGGACTAGCCGCTGATTTAGAGGGCTCTTCCCTTCCCAGCAGGTGTCCACTCCAGGCACCAGACCTCCCACCTGTCCAGGAAGTGCCCCTAAGCTAGTGCTCTGGTCTTATGCCTTGGGTTCAGTGGACAGTTGTTGGGCTGATTGTTTATAGTCTGTCTTGAGTTTGTATGTTTTTCTGATATGAAACCCAGATTAGGTATAGAGACAACAACTGGATTAATAGGCTCCAAGGGGCATGGCAGGGAAGGCTGGAAGGAAATGGGCACTAACCAGAAGTACAAAGAAGAAATGTCCTAAAATTGATTATGGTGATGGCTACCCAATTCTTATGAATGTGATTGAACTATTGAAATAGATGGTATGTGAATTGCATGTCTGTTAAACTGTTAAACATAAACAAATTAAGTTAAAGACAAGTGTTAAAGAGAACACACAGCCTGGGGGGGGGGATATTTGGCAATGACATATAGGAAAAAGGATAATCTCTGAAAATGAGAGAAAACATCAACACTTCAACAGCTAAAAGACAAATTGTTCAATTAAAAATGGTCAGAGAACATGAACAGAAACTTCACAGAAGAAGACATCCAGGTGGCCAATGTGCATGAAGAAATACACATGATCACTTGCCATTAGAGGTATGCAAATCAAGACAACAATGAGATATCATCTCACACCAGCATTAATAGCAAAGTTAAAAGAAAACTGAACAACAAACAACCACCCTGGCGTGTACATCCTGACTCACAGTGAACCTATAGGACACGCTGGGATTGCCCCTGTGGGTGTCCAAGACTGTAATTCTCTAAGGGAGTAGAAAGCCTCATCCTTCTCCCACGGAGCAGCAGGTGGATTCAAACTGTGGACCTTGCGGTTCGCAGTCTAGTGCGTGCTCCATAATAAATTGGATGTAGTGCTATTATAGGATTCACCAATACCACCACTAAGGAAATATCCTAGAGATGTTAGATCTGTGACAAGAAGTCAAATGCACACCCAAGTTAAACACAGAACTATTCACTATAGCAACAAGGTGACCATCCATGGAATAATCGACAAACTACGTGTACATGCACACAATGGACTATCATGCAACAATAAACAAACAATACACTGCAAAGCACCTCATAACAGATGAACTTGAAGGACATTATCCTGAGTAAAATGAATCAATCCCCAAAGGACAGATAGTGTATGAAACCTCTTATAAAAAGTGAACACACTGTTTTCATACATACAAAGAAATGTCTGTGGTGGCTGTCGGGGTGTCAGGTACGGCAGGTAGATCTCTAATGATTGCATTAGACAGATCAGAGTAACAGGGCGAAGGGGAAGGCAATGTTTAAGAAGAAGGGGGTTAGCAAGCATAAAGTGATGAAGGCGCTGGCACGTACTGGGAAGAATGCAAGAGTAAAAGGCAACAGAAATAAATACTGTCCCACAATAACAACACTCTCCGAGTGGCTGCAGAGGTGGATACGTATGCTGGACAGGTGTGGAAAGGAGAATGGGACTATACCATGAAGGTAGGTGAAGTCTATTGACATGGCTTCTTGAAAAATGTCAATGTCATAAAATTGTTTAAAGGTTGGGGAGGAATTATTCTAGATTGTAGGAGGTAAAGAGACATCAAAAGTAAATTCAAAGCATAATCATTCATTTGATCCTGGGTGGAAAAATCAGAGCATACAAGGTCATTATTGGGTCAGTTAAGGAAAATTGACAATAAATTGTATAATAAATATATCAGTATCTTATTGGGTGTGATATTATGGAATAGTATAATAATCCCTTACTATTTCAGGTACATACAGAAGTACTAAGGGTTCAATTGTCATGATATTTATAAATGATTCAGCACACAGATAAACTAAAAAACCCAAGTTCTTCAAGTTTTAGAATTGTAAGTTTTACATTTAGGTCTGTAATCTATATTGAATTAAATATCACAAAGAGTGGATCTCTTCTATATAGATTGTCAATTAGTAATAAAGAAAACTCCGAAAACAAAACTCACTGGCATTGAGTCGATGCCGACTTCTACCAACCTTATAGGACAGGAAAGAATCGCCCCTGTGACTTTCTGGGACTCTCACTCTTTATGGGAGAAGAAAGTCCCTTTGCCCAGTGAGTGGCTCATTGGATTTGAACTGCTGCCTTTGTACTTAGTAGTCCAACTCATAAACACTGTGCCACTAGGACTCCTTAAGCTAAAAAAGTCGTTTTAATGTGTGGTAATAATATTATTATTTGATGTTGAAGTAAAGAGGCCTAATCTTCTCTTTGCTCAGCATATGTGCATATAGACATATATACATGCATTGGCACATGCACATAGTATATGAACATATATACACACATACATACACACATACATGCATATGTAGTTGTACAGTCATATGAACGTATTCAAAATTCAAACCCTAACTAGTTGTTGCTACATTGCTTCTGATTCTCAATTACCCCGTAGGACAGAGTAGAACTGCCCCAAAGGTTTGTAAGACTGTCATCCCGAGGGAGGCAGACTGCCTCACCCTTCTTCCACAGCCACTGGTGAGCTCAGCCACCAATCTTTTGTTCCGCCACTGAGTGCTTAATCACTGCACCACCAGTCCTCTGCTAACATATCAAAGGGGGTTCAAAAAGGTTGTGAAAACTTGCATTGTCTTTTCATTTCATTTTTCCATGAACTTTTTCAAGCCCCCCATCTATTTTCTTATGTGCACATGCACCCAGATACACATGCACACAGCTTTACATCTATACATCTATACACTTATGCAGATGCATATGTGTACATGCATGCACACACATACACCAGTCCTTCGGTTTTCTAAGTAAATTTTTTTCTGAAGAGATCACCATTTGGAGAAGTATAAATGTCCTACTGAGATGAGGCTAGGTGTGAAGAGGCCAGTGCCTGACACATGGAATGAGAGCTGAGTGGAATCGCTCTTGATGTTCACATTGACACTAGAGGTGGAGTCTTCTCACCTGGATCACTCCGCAGGTGGAGGGAGGAAGAACGTTTGGGATGCAGGACTCTAGGGTTCACTTCTTGCCTCTGCCTCCTACGAAGTGTTGTGACCCTGATAAATTAACCCCCTTTTTTTTTTTGGCTTGGAGTAGGGCAGAGGACAGGGGAGGCTCGAAAATGTGAAATGATAAAGATAATATGAAGGAGTTTTTGTGATGCTTAATTGAGATGGCTTCTACCATATGCTCCATACTTTTCATCAACTTAGCAAATATTAAGTGGGACTATAACTTAAGAAAACATTACACAGAACGAGATGTTTATTCCCTGGAACTGAGCATCAACTGACAACGCCTATATTGCAAATCAGGGAAGATAGAGGAGCCCAGAAATGGCAAGTTGGTTCATGAAAGTCAAACTTGCTTCCCTGAAATTGGCTCCCGCTCACCTAGATCCCTCGGAAAGCCTGCCTCTTCACTCCGAGCCCCGTTAGCAGGGCCCAGGCACTTCTCAGAAAGGGTGTAACGTGGTGCCATGCTATCTTGAAGCACAGGCCCTCTCCTCTTTTAAAAAAATGGTTTTCTTTCTTTCTTTCTCTCTCACTGAGAGGAGGTGCTACACGGAGTTCATTTATTATGTTGTGTAGTCACAGTGCAGATGCTGAATCCAGAGACAAGTCAAAATAAATTTATGACAGTCGTTCTTCACCTTCTGGTTTTTGAGCTGTTTCCCCACCCCCCCCAAATATTTTAGGGCCATGATACAACCGCAGCTGCAATAAACTGGTCCTTATACCTATTGGGGTGCTATCCGGAAGCCCAGAAGAAGGTGGACAATGAGCTGGACGAAGTGTTTGGTACGTTTGGGCCCTTCATTCGTTACACTGTGGGTACCAAGTGCACTAAGACTTATGTCATTCATTTTCATGGAGGGCAGGCAGTAGGTGCAATCTAAATACAGAATACAGGATCCCTTCCAATTCTAGTCTCTTTTTCATATACCTTCTAATGCCTTTTTCTAAGATAAATACTTAGTTCCAGACATTCACACCCCTTGACATGTCACAGCGGCGGGCTAGATTCTGGGAATGCACAGCAAAAGTTCTTGTACTCAAAGATCAATGTGCTTACAAGTGAAACAAAGTCACGTACATAACGCACTTCATCACAGAGCATGTGCTGGAATGCTCTGAGAAGGGCCTTTTGGGGAACACAGAAAAACAGGGGAAGCAAGTTGATGGGGTAAGAGAATGGTGTGGTGACTACATCTGACTTTTTCTGGTTTCAGTAGGGAGAGAGAGAATCCAATTTCATACCAGTCCAGAGATGATTCCCACAAGGGAGCAGCAATCTGGCATCTCTCCACCATCTGACTCCCTTTACCATATTCTGACACTCATTGCCCCTCTGATGGCCATCTCCTTCTCTGCGGGGTTCCATAATTCTGACAATGGCCACACAGAAGTCACAGACAATGCTCACAATTATAGGCCTTATCATCCGAGAAGCTAACAGTTTCTCAGTTATTCAGTGAGAAAGTTATTCAGGATCAGAAATGTTAAGAATACAGTTCATTTGTTTGCAGCAATATATCTTCTCTGCCATGCTGACAGCCCCGTCTTCCCTTGGCCCTTGACCTTTCAGCCATGCAGTGTCTTAACCTGTCTTGCTTGGGCAAGTGATAACAAAGTTCTTTTCTATAACAACCACACTTGCAAGTCAATTCTGACCCATGGAGACCTTATAAGACAGGGTCTAACTGCCCCTGTGATAAATTCCCAAAGGGCACCCCACTCCGCAAGCCAGACTCCTGCCCCAAAGCATTCAGGGTTCCTCATTCCATGGACCAGGCAGCCTGTCCCCCCAGCGCTTCTTCACTCCTGGCTGTTCTTTCTTCCTGGTTGTGCGATTCTCTACTTCTGCCTTTGAGATGGCTTACTTCATACACAGTGAAGGGGCAGATCTCACCAATCCCCTCCGAAACCCCGTGATCTAATAGTTATGCGTTGGTCTGCAAGCCGCTTGGTAGGCAGTTGAAAACCTGGTCAGCAGCTCCTCACAAGAAAGACTGGGCTTTCTTCTCCCATAGGCGCTCACCACCTCAGAAACCCACAGTGGGTCACGCTGAGACAGAATTGCCTCGTTGACGGTGAGGAACCTTAGTTGCATGCTGCTGCCCAGTTATTTGATGGGAGTTACAAAGACCATGAATAGAAGAGCCATATCAAGTAATTTCACTTCACCCCAAGTGGTGAAGAAAAGCTTCTTCCTATGGGATTGAATTTTGCCACAAATTAAAGTCAAAATGTGCCAAACCGATTGGAAACACATTTTTGCCATGTAAGTAATTTGGAGATAAAGAGTCCTGGGTTGATGTCTATACGTCTTTGCTTGGGA